GTATGCGTAATTTTACGGTTGGAGCAAACGGAAAAATTCTATCGTCTTATGTTGGTACATATTAATTAACACACATCTTCCGCTTTAAAATATCTTTAATAATCTGTGAAAGTACGATTATATGATATCGTGAAACTTATATTGTTTCTATCTTTTTACAAAGTGACACAAATTAAATTCTTTTTCTCGAGAACAAGTAGTAATCACTGTATTTTATAGACATATAGTGTACACGTATTACATGAAATCGCGTAAAAAGCTTTGCCTTCAAAGTTTTTATATTTTAGAATAATACATGACATCAGAAGTTAAAATATTATTTGCAACCCTCACGATCAATATTCCTTCACAAACGAAAGTCTGACTATTATTTTTATTGGCTAAACAATATATATTTCTACTGGGTCGCCTCCTTCCTTTAATAAATAATTTCGAAAAATTACGGTATTCGATTCTTGTTGGTAAGTATTATGTGAATTATGGATTCATTAAGTGCATTTTTAAATATTTTTACGAACCACACAAAGGTAAGTGCATCAAAGAAATAATTAATGTAAACGTCTATGAAATCGTTATTTTTCGCTGATGTTTTTGTTTTCGGTATCAAAAAATATACACAAATATTTATTTTACGCGTAAATAAGTTATAAAATTACGTAATATGAGGTACATACTAGTTGGTCACAGTAGAATTTGTATTATTACATAAGTACACTTGTAGTCAAGTATGCATATATAGGAAAAAAAAAAAAAAACAACTACTTATTTCGGAACTACAAACGTGGATTCAGTTGGTACAAAATAAAGTAAAAACAAAAGTAATCAAACCATACTAGTAAACACTAGAATTAATTTTCTTATTTTTTCAATCAAATCGGCTGTAGAAAAATGAGAATAATCCTATGATTTAAAGCTCAGCTACATATATACTTTACGTAACACTCGTTCGAATTAACAAACAAGTTACCATAAAACGATAATCTTTCGTGCGGACGTGCACACATAATCCGACGGACGGGAGCGCAGGTGTACCTATATATATACAAGCGCGTATTAAACAGGCATCAGCAGGAGGTATGTAAGCCGACGAGAGATCGGTAGGCATATATAATGGGGAGGAGGGAGCGCAAAGCGGAAGTCGATTCTCGCCGCGGACAATTGGAATCGCGGAAGCAATTCCGGCGCTGCGTGGATGTCCACGCGAGCGTGCAGGACTCGTTCCGATTGTACACTTATTGTTGCGTTTACGCGATCGTGGAGGCCGTGTTACAACTATACACACCTCGCACGTACCAGTTCATTGTTGGGCACACTTCGGACTGGCCGCGCAGATGTTTCAGCACGTTATGTGTACATGTGTCAATTCCCGCTGCAGGTATCATTATCATGCAACCGTCGCGCAATCCGTCTAATGTAAAGTGCCTCTTTTTAATGTTGGTTATTTGTATAAAAATCTCTTTGCCGATTTAACTTGTGAAATGTGATAGACACCCCACCCCTCAAAGTATATTTGAGCGGTGTCTCACGCTTGAAGTACATTTTACTCGAATCGGATGCTTCTTGTGCCTAAAATCGTTGTTGATCGCGAGATGCTTCGCCTCAACTCCGTTGGGTTCGGCACGTCGACCGAACTACACCTCCAACATTAATTTCGAAAACGAGTGTGTCCTACCGATTTAGCGTATTCCAGTGTTGAAAAATGGGTTGCGGAGGCAGCAGTTGCGCGAAAGACCAGCAGAAGAAGGGGAGTAAGGCGGGACCGGGGCTGCAGGTTGCAAGCGGAAAGGTGCACTTCCAGCCCGAGCAGCTGAACAAGCTCGACGAGTACTTCAAACAACTAGCTCGCAGAGATCGCCAAGGTATGCGTACCCGCACTTTGACATGACTTTTAACTTGCTCGGGACACAAAGTTTTACCGTGAAAAAAAAAAAAAAAAAAAAAAGTAGTTTCTAGATCCACGGCCAGTGTCGAGGCTACCGTCGAGCGTCTCGTCCAGCGACTCGTAGTTGGAGTGGGCAACCTGGACAGTAGGTTTCGAGCCACCTTTCTCGTTTCGCTCAACGAGCCCCGAAGAATAGAGGTGGGTGTCAACGCAACGCACGCATCCATTTAATTCGTCAATTAAAAAAAAAAAAAAAAAAGAACAGGTTCCCTCTCCACTATTCCACCCTCGCGTTGTGTGCACTTTCTCGTCCGCCGATCGGGCCAATTTGTTTTTCGAGCTCCGCGCAAAGGTAACAAGTAGCGAGGCGCGCCGGCATTTTACGTCTGTTTCGTGGAAGGAAAATCGAGCGGTGTTAAGCTGGAATTGGACGAACGGGGGGGAGCGGAGAGAAAGAGCGGGGAAAAAGAGAGCCGGAAGGGGTGACTGTGTGTGTGAAAAACTGTAGTGAAAGGGACGAGACAAAAGGGGAGCTAATGAAAAGGGGTGGATGGAAAATAGGGAGGGAGGGAGCCCCGGGGCGTATGATTGTTTGCTAGCTGGATGAAGAGGGGGGGGGAGGTGATGCGGAAAAGCGCTCGATGCATTAGGATTTAACGGCGAGGAAGTAATGAGATGTGTTGTTTCATTGCACCTGCAGATGTACAAAACAAAAGAGGATGGAAACGAACGATCGCGTTGATACGTACAATGTACAAGCCAATTGGGTTGGTGGTTTTTTTTTCTTCAAGAAAAAGGGATATTCTCATTTGACAACTCACGTTATGATTCGTATTTTTTTTTTTTTTTTTTTTTTTTTTTTTTTTAACGATCGATAACAAATATTTTCGATATACCAATATGTTCCAAATTTCATGCGCTTTCTCGCGTTAGCCCATATCATTATTGTGGTACTCTGTTTTCTACATATTTATGTAAATATTTTTCTTTTATCTTAGTATAAAAAAACAAAAAAAAAAAAATCACTCGATAAAAAATTCACCCCGATTCCCGACAATTCGCGATATGTTGTGTAGGAGGCTTAAAAATCGCGTTGATCGCGAAAGTTAAATTCATCTTATCAGCGCCACAGCCACATGAATAAACAAACAACGAAACCCATAACCCTCTACCTAATGATAAAAACCTCGAAAATGATGGACGCTGGTGAAAATAAACAAATATGCACACGGGGATCGAACGCGAGAGCAGCAGCTGAGATTCGAGTACCTCCTGAGACTGGACGGATTGTCGGAGGGCGGGCTGAGCTTGAGCGTCGAGGAGGACAGCGCCCTGTCGGGGTACGCGCGCCTCAGCCTCAGGACTGGCGACACCGGCCCCTGGACGGACTTCCTCGGCCCGGACGGCCGGCTCAGACGCGACCTCGTCAAGGCCAAACTCGCGGCCCTCCTCGCCACCGCCACGAGACGGCCTCAGCGTACGTACAAATGTATAAAAAATAATGCGAACAGTTCCATTTACACCGTATACTAGTCGTTGCGCGCATCAATACAGGTGCGACCGATGACGGGCAGCTCTGCGCGACCCCCGGCCAGGTCGTCGACGCCGAGGTGCTGGACAAGATACTCAAGCAGCCCGAGCACTGTCGAGTCTTCTACGGCCCGGGTAAGGTATATTTAATAAATATCTCGTACGCGTTGTGTACGCTGCACAGGTGATAAACAAAGTCGATCGGCTGTAGCCGAGGTGGGGCCGGAGATCGGGGAGCCCAGGATCGCCATAGTGGAGGACGAGAGCGGGATAGTGCTGAAAGTAGGGCTGGAGGGCTCGCTGCAGTCGCGGGACGTGGAGGTAAGGCTGCTCGTCGGGGCCTCCGTTAACTCGTGGCCGGCTCGCGCCGATTACCCGAGGCGAATACCCCTCCACCACTCGGACGCCCTTCTTCACTACTCGGCTGCCCAAACCGTGAGGATCGTTAAACTGTGTATATATATATGTATACATGCAGTTATGCGCGCGTGGGGTGACGATTGTCGATTTCGCAGGGCATGTACGTGGTGGCTTCGGCTCCGCGGCAGGGCTACCGGTGCGAGGAGCGGGCCACTTTGTGGAGAATCCGGCTTTTAGCTGCGGAGGTGGCTATGCGCCAGCACTACTGCGACGAGAGCGTACCGGCGATCGTGGAGGGGGCCCTCATGCACGTGATCGATCAGCTACGGGCCAGACTGCCGGCCGATTTTTCCGTTAAACGTAAGGTATGCCCTGCAGAGTCATGTATAAACGATACGTACTATTTATCATTATTTTTTAATCAAGGAATTTTTTATGTTTCGCAACCTTTTTGCTCCTTACATTGCGGGGTGTAACTGAAAGGGTACATAGGAGGTTTTTTTTTTTTTTTTCATACGAGTTATTAATTACTCTTTGTGACATTCGTTTTGAGTGACAATTACAAATATCCAATAACTACAAAGTCATAGCCACGGCTTTTTAACAAAATGTCCTTCTTTGAATTTAAAGAACATCAAAAATTACAAACTTGTAAAATGGTCCAACTATAGTGAAAAAACATGGATAATTTTTGAGAAAGAGGCGTTTTGACCAATAGACCAAGTAGCAAGTTGTTATTATTATATAAAGTGATGAATAGAAGAATATATTTTTAAAACAATTCTGTTTGTTTTATTCAAAACATTGTCTTGCTTCGAGAACAAAGGAAATTCTGATTCGAAATTGAAAATGTATACGTAAAAAAAAAAAAAATTATTATAATTATTACAACTTACACCTCAGGCATACATGTTGTGTGACTAAGTTGTGGATCGCGTAAAAATAAAACATTTTTGCCAGTGTACTATACATTTTTTTTACAAGTTCGTTGCTTAATAGTAAAAAATGTAGTTGTCACGCCTGAAATGCAAATTTTTCGACATAAAAATTCTGTAGTTCGTCACTATTAAACTGTGTACTGGATAAACATAAATGCAAAAATTTTGAAACTTTTTTAAATATTAATTTTTTCATCAGTCAGGAGAGAGCTAATTATTAAATTGCTCAGGTCGTAACCGTGTGATTTATGAAAAAAAAAAACTTTTTTACACGATGAAGGAAAATGAAATTTTTCAATCCTTGGAAAATAAATGGTGTTCTGCACGTTGTGATAAAAGTAAATAATTCCAAATCCAGTAGCCAGTTCTTGTTTCACCCCATAGTATAGGTCCTTTGAAAAAAGTCCAATACATATAAATAAAAAAAAAAAAAAAAACTACGGTATGCATCAAAGAATACATGCACAAACGAGATGAATTTTGTTCGAGAGCGCACCCATGTACCTACTATGTTACCTTTTTGGCCTCGGTTTTGGCCTGTCCGCTGTTCAACTGCTTCATTTTTCCAAAGTCCCGCCGTACACGTATATATATAGTCGGGCTTAAACAAGCGCGCGCGGCTTAATGAGAAAAGTTGAATCGCTCGCACCGAGAGCTTTCGCGCCGGTCCACTGGTCCCGCTCTTTTATTTCCCGCACCACCAGACTGACAGTGATTTTTCATCCCCCACCCTTTCTTTTTTCTTCACCTCTGTTAGAAATTTCTTTGATTTTTCGTCCTCCCCCGCCTCTTTCAACGGATATGATGTTTCACGCCACTTGCCGCCACCGTCATTCGAGCCGTGTACCCCTCCTAATGGAGGAAAAGCTCCCATCCTCGAAGTAGCCAACGGAACTTTTTAATTGAACTCCGACGAGCGGCTCGTTGTTTTCAACACTCGTAAAAATGAAGAAATGCACGAGAAAGGGCAAAAAAAAAAAAATAAATAAATAAATAAATAAACAACAAATGGTACGCAGGGCTCGTTGAGGCTGGTCTCCAGGCACATCGCCAGGTCGATACACTGGTGGCGGCTCGAGGACCCCCTGGCCGACTGGTCGTCCGACGGGGGCGTCTCCCAGCACGTCATCTCGTGCCTCGACGACCTACTAAAGGCCCTCAAGTGTCAAAACTTACGGTGCTACTTCCAGCCGGGCTGCAACCTCATGATCCAGTCGACCCGAGGTACATACACACTTATATCCTATAGCTTCGTGTTGACATGGTGTTGCAAATTCGATATAGGAGGACTGGTCCAGAGCGAGGAGGCTTACGCCGCGGAGGCCCGCCAACTCGAGGCCTACCTGGTGGCCCTGCACGCGTACTCGGTCGAGTGGCTCCCGGAGCAGGCCACCTCGAGCAGTAGCGCCGAGCTTTTGGAACGCGAACTGATGAACCGCTGGCGTCAGGTGATGGCGACGATGTCGCCGAGAAGCCCCCCCGATGAGTACAACACCCGTCAGCTTCAGTACCTCGGACTACTCGTTGGGGAGGTCCTCCGCGCCAAGGACTCGCTTCTACGGGTTCGGACGCTTTTTTTTATCTTCTTCCATACATTCGGAAGATGTATACAATAAATACCTACATAAATATATACACATGTTTATGGGTGACAGAACAACAACAGCGCATCGGAGGCGTGGAGCTCGTTGGTGTGGTCGGGGGCCGGCTCGGCGCCGTACAGCGAGTCAACGGAGAACCTGGTGTACCTGGTGTGCCTGGCGCTGAGACAAGCCAAGGGCCATCGGGTGACGGGCCGGAAGCCCAGACGGAGGAGGACCAAGCGAGGCGGCGGGTCGTCCAGGGCGGAGCGGAAGACGAGCTGCGCCAGGGCGTTCTTCGACCGGTCGGTCGACCTGCTGGTCGACATCGTGAGGCGGGACCGGGAGACCGCCTNTTGCGTGTCAGAGAAATTTAGGCAACAGCTTTGTAAAGAAAAAAAAATTCGTCAGTCCCGTACCATCGACTACTGTTGTTCGCGAACTGCACGTGTTATTCGAAACTTTTATAATTTTTACAATGTACCCTTGGGGGAGAACATAAATTTTCACCATTGATATTTCAAACAGACGAAAAACAATTTAAAAAATTTCACCACATGTACAACGAGTTCACTGTGGCCAACAGACTGAATTTTTAGTTTTTTTTTCTTTCATATTTATGACAATCTTCAGTTGTATCGTTTATTTTTCATGAATTGACATATTTTTCTTGTGAAAGTTAAAAGAGCATACATAATCAAACAGAAATTACATGTGATTGCCTAACATTTGGTGTGGATCGACATTGTTGTTTGATGGCACGTTCAATAAGCCTGAACGTGATACTGGATTTCCTTTGAAATATTGACCGAATTTAGTTAAATAGTAAATAGTTTGCCTCCATCTTTAAGCTTTAGTTTTGTTATTTGATGATTTTCATTATCCTTGAGAGCAAGAAATGGAACGAAGTTATACAGTTGTAGGTATTACTCCAAGAGTTCTTTTATCATCACTCGTTTCACAAACACGTTGGTTTTAAATCCTGAGAGTAAGCGGGATAAGCAAGTAACCAGTGACATGAACACTTCCTCCTGCTCAACTAGCTGTTACACTGGCTTTGCGGGCACAACCAAACCCAGCGTACTCTTAGCCGGCAGTGCAGTACATAAGAGGATAGTCGGAACCTAACTGGCAGACGGGCGTGTCCTCGCGTACAAAAAAGGGCCCCAACAACGTCCCTGTAGAAAAAGTGAGAAGTCAGTCCACCCCGAAGCTCGTTAATGATACAAGGAAGATAGGAGACGGACGGGAGAACAAACATCCGCAAATTCACGGCTGGTGGCCTCGAAGCTTCTTCAGAAAAAAAAAAAAGAAAAAATTGATTTTGTTGTTTTTAATGTTTATTGAGTTTTAATAACTATATTCCCCGTTGTATAAACCAAAAGTTTCGACACCGAGCTTTGAATGCGAGGTCGTTACAGCCGAAGCAGTGATGTATGTGTTCGATTTGACGGTTCGATAATTGAAAGCCGTGTGTATATATACCGTTGCAGAAGGTACGCCAAGGCACATCGAGCTGAGGGACGCGAGTCCTTTGACGCACGTCGCCAAGATGGCAAGGCGAAGAGGCCGACAAAGGGGCCCCGGTGGCTTGATCCCGGCTCTGGTGACTCTTAACAAGTTTCGGGTGAGTTTGTACACCATGCGCTCATGCATATGTATATAGATGTATGTACACACATCATCAACTTGATTCCCTTTACACTTGCGTACGTTTCTTTTGTTTCAACCGGTGCTCAGCGGGTGCTATCAAATAAGCTTTGCCAAACTACATCCAATACGCCGTACACCCTAGATGTATAAAACCAAAAAATCCGATACTTTTTACGCGTATAGGTGTATCTATACTTACCTATCCACACACGAGTATGCAAAGCGCATTGTGTGTGTAGATGACGGGAAAATCCCGGCGCGGCCGGAGAGAAAAATGTTTTCATTGTATATCCACAAGAGGCTCCGTGTAGGCGCGAAAATCCCGTATCTGCTTCCGTTGGCACACACGCGCACCCCCTCATGAATAATATACGCGCACAGGTGTGCCACCGGTAATCTACTTCACGAGAAAAGACGGCTCGGTCGCGCGAGTCCTTGGATTATATATTACATCCCGGATGATCCGTTTTCGATTTGTCCGCAGCGCGTGATGTGCAACCTCTTCTTTTCGAAAAACATCCAACGCTGGCCGTTGACGAACAAGATCCTGACGTACGACGTACGTGAAACGACAATGTACGGTGCATGACCTACACACAGCAGCTTTTTTTTGCCCCACTCGTGGAGTATTTTTTTTTTTTTTTTATGCACCAAAAGAAATCCAAACTCTTGGATGCCGATCTCTACTCATGCGAGATCACAGTCCTCACCTTAACTCCCAATCAATTTATTGGCTCGAGCGCGCACCTCTTGTATAGTATATGTAAAAGTAATATTGGGGTTCACCCGCCAGATGGTATGTACATACACACACACACACAGTAGTCGCTCGGTCGGGTTTTCTAGGGGATGAACTCGGGGTTTTAGAAGCGCCGCACCGGGAGGAAGTAAGTATATAGCGGGTGGAGGGGGTAAAGTGACTGCTTGATTACTTGCTTGGCCGCGTGCACGCTCACTATAGTCTACAGTTTGATTGAATCGTTGGCTTAAACTCGCACACCGTAATTCCCGGGGAAAGCCGCACACCTACCGCACTTTATACGTGCCGCGGCAGCAGTACACACATCAGTTGCTTCTCTCTTCCGCTCTCGTCGCTATCTCAGCTTTGACGCTCCAAGCGAAACTGTATACACGTGTACAAAACGAAGAACAAGCATCACGTATTAGCTATTAATTTGGAGCATTCATTTTACGTTACAACCGATGCCTATACATACAAATAATAATTGTATCGATGACAAAAGTGATAACAGTATATATATAATATTGTAACGCATCGCAGGTACTGCAAGAAGCGGCGCAAGCGTTGCCACCGAAGGAGCGCACGTCGATGCTCGAGCTGGTACAGCAGGCCCAAAGGGACGCGGCTCGACGACGGAGGCGGGCCATCAGCTGCCCGGACCAGCTCAACAACAAGAGCCCCACCACCAGCGAGCCCCGACAACTCTACACTCCCAAGTGCGTCGATCCTCCGATTAATTTCCTCGTACCATATACCCGCGGTACATAGGTATACCCACGGGTAAGTAGAGAGAGAGAGAGAGAGGGGTGAGGTCGATGGGCGACAGCTGTTGACGTTATCATCGAACGGGCGTAAGCCGATCGGGCGACGAGCTGACTCGGTGAATTTCCATCAGGGCTCTCCTCCGGTCGTAACTAATTAGTCCCCCCCCCTCCCCTCTTCTACTGTAGTCTCTTTTCATGATCAAATATCCATTGGCAAACAGGTCCGAGTCGGCGTTGCACGAGGAGCCGGCAGCAGCGGTTACGAGGGATCCCTCCCCGGGAGTGGAGCAGCGCGTCGTACTGGAGCGCGAGTTGCAGCTGCGCCGCGAGATCCTCGAGATCCACGACACCCTGAGCCGGGGTCTGAGGAGCAGGAGCCACCTGCCCTCGTGGGACGCGTTGTCGCTGGCGTCGTCGAGCTTGCCGTCCACGGGGTCAGTCGGGCGCGCTCGAGTCAGGAGGCGCCGCACCCCCGTCTGGACGGACAGCGCTCGAGGTAAGGTATACACACACGGCCACGCTATGTACATGTATACATATATAATTATGGTACTCCTCTGGGGGTATAAATATAAAGGGACCTGGTCGCTGTGGGGTAGCGTCAGCTGCAACAGCACCTTCTCGAGACTGAGGCCTGGGAGCAATGCGCGGGGGACTCCCGAGGGGCACCCCAACGACGAGTCGCTGCCTACTTGGGACGCGCTCGAAAAGGCGTTGCAGGAGAAAATTTCGACGCACGGGGATCGGCTCGACTCGCGGAACGAAGACGGGAACGCCAACGTCGACTACATTGTCGTCGGCAACGAGACCAGAGAAGTCGCGCGGAGAAGTTGAATGTATACCACAGCTGGGATTGTTTACACGTACACATGCATGAACATATATTTTGTACGATCACTATATTATACATACTGATTACCTCATACAGAGAAAACAAACAAAAAAAACAAAAAACAAATAAACGTCACATGTGTGTATCAAATGAGTACAATTTTTTTTCCCCCCTAAGGGGTTGATCGATCGAGAGAAATCGGTATGGATCTTCGGCGCGGGAAAAAAAACAAGGCTCTTTGGGGAGCAAAGAGAGAGGGCGCCGATCAAGGACCGACCACGAGCTTAATTGAAGCTGCAGTGCGATTAAAGTCGACTCGTGCGTCCGTGTCCTGGGGAGGGGGGGGGGCAAGGCGAGCGGGGGCGGAAAAGAATAGACGGTCAGCGTGCAGGCTATACATACCCGCCACTTATACACACAGAGTTCCGGTAGCGCACATCTTCCCCCACCCCTCCCAACCACCCCGTTCGTTTTCTCTGTCGCGCTGGCCCGTTTTTCCGGGGGTTGCGCCCTCTCCGGGCTTGCCTGTATACATCTGCGGCGGGCGCCACGATCGCGGCTACAGCAGAAACCAGCCCCCTCAGTCTCGCAGCATCCCTGCTTCGGTACGCGTCGGGCGCGCGCCCGTCAATATACATACATACACTTGGCGATTTTGCATATACCACCGCTTTGTCTCGCCCTCCGAGTTTTTGGCACGCGCAATCGTTACGTAACACGGCACTGCGTGAAAACAACAACGAGGAGGTTTTGTCCTCGCTCGCACGGTGCAAAGGGTGTATACACATACGTGTGATCCTTGGTGAAAGCGCGCGCGCGAAACTCGGGGGAGTCGAGCTTGGCTACTGTACCTCGATATACCCGCGCCCCAAATTGTGCCAGTTTCGACTGCCGATGCGCTCCGTACGAAAGCTCGTGGTCCGAGGGTGACGCGTTTCCAACGAGTGGTGCCGGAATTTGTGACAGCACATATACACCCAGTGGTTCCACAGTCGCTTGCGATCCCCAAACTCTTGCATCGTGTGGTCTCGAGAGGGGCTCGGCTATTGGTAAGGCTTTACTTTACTTGTCACCCTCCCCCCCCCCTAACCCGAGGTGCAACTGAAATTGAAACAGACGATGAGTTTTTGCTGGCGCGCTTTACCGATCGACAACAAAACAAAATCCACGGCGCGCGATGAATGGACAACGCGACGGGGGTGGGGCCGATCAAAGAGCCTTTATCAATATCGCCACGGTCATCTGGACCTGTTTGACATATGCACCGCGTATGCCTGTACGCGGATGGTATTATTACAATTGGTATATGCTTTGTTATTATTTTAGTCCCCGTACGGCAAAAGAGGCGCGATCGGTACAATGAAATTTGCACGGTTGTACCGTATTACGGGCTAGTTAAATTGAATTTACGATCGAATGATTCACCCTCGCGCGTATATAAATAGACAGACGGGAGGGGGTGGGAGGGAAAAAGAGGCGCGGCAGATAAGCACGGGAGTTCAAATCAACTGTACCGCAAAGTCGTCGCGGATGAGTAAATCAAATCAGTCATCGGTACACACACGGGGGGGGGAGGAGGGAGGAAAAAAAAACTCGGCGTTTTTCTCTGCGTGTAATATCGGAGATCTTTTGTGAGGTAAAACCGAGGCGACGGGAAATGTAGCGCTAAAGAGGGGGGCTGCATCGCGCGCAATCGAAAACGTGCCGAGTGTCGCTCTTTTGCCGAAGCTTTAAATTCTCTCGACTCGCGGGTGGGGGAGACGCAAATGGCGACGGGAGCAATGAAATCTCCACCATATCGGGGGTTCTACCTCCTTCCTTTCTATATACCTTTCGCCCTTCGTCGGGCAATCGCGCACCTGGAAAACGTACGTGCACAGCCTTTGTCCCTTTGTCTAACTTGCTCGCCCCGACCCGGAGCTCGCCTTTCTTCCCTTCTTTGGCTTCCCGGTGACGTTCTAGCTCTCCCTGTTCAAATTAAAAATAAACAAACGTCGATCTCAACAGAGACCAAAACGTGGCAACATACCAACTACTTGTCAATCAAAGCGACGAATAATAAAAAAAAAGGAGTGCCAGTGGGCTGCACGAGAAAATCGTCAAAGGGAGTGGAAAGCTTTCGTTTTCATCCGGTTACTCTTGGGGGGGGGGGGGGCAATCCACCGGAGCTGTTACACGGGGAACCCCTCGCAGCTTGGCCTAATACTCTCGCAGGAGCATACACGCCCACGGAAGGAAATCACCCCCGCGGCCATGTATGTCGAGTATACACGGGCGAGGAGAGAGAGAGAGAGAGGTGCTTTTTCCGTGAACACCACGCGTATATCCTATACGTGTACGTGCGGGTGCGACGAAACGATTTACTTTTACCAGCCCCCGTATTGCACGACCCTGCTGGTATGGGAAGTTTGCACGCGGTTTCCGATAATTTTGAAAATACTGCTTATGCATGTATATATGTATACGCGCTCACGCCGCAAGAGTTGGGTAGGGGGGGGGGGGGATTTTCCGGAAGCTCCTTTGCCGGGGCTCGCTCGGCGAAGCGAGAGCTTTTTATTGAATTACACCTGCTGCGCACTTTGTGCATGTACGCGCTCTTTGCTCCGTCGCGAAAACTGACTCGCTGTTATTCCATGAGCGACTAGTCGAATGGAAAAGCTGTAACTTTTGATGGCATGTGCTTTGGGTGTGAATTTTTTAGAGGACTTTTTTTTTTTTTTTTTTTTTGACAATTCTAATTGTCAATTGTAAAGTGGGCACTTTCACCCCGAATGGTTATTCGTGCAAAGAGAAAAGCGGAATAATGCCACGATTCATTCATCGCGATGCTCGAGTTTTCCAATATCGAGACAATTAATTTATAGTTGGGAGGTCGTAGTCGTCCTTCCCAATTCGGACGGGCTATTACTGCCGCAATCTATAAATGGAACTCGGATCGGGAAGCGAGAAAGGGAGGGGCGCGTGGGGGACAAATCAAATGAAAAACCTCGAGTCTCGTATAT